CCCCCCCAGCTTAGGAGAATGCCAGGAGCCAGGCACCAGGCCCTGAGGCCTTCCCTCCCTTCCCCCAAAGCTGACAGGTAGAGAGGCCACGGAGGGGCAGGGGCAGCCCAAGCCACCAGGGGGGGTTTGAGCCCACCTTCTCCCTCTGCCTCCAGCTCACCCGTGAATTCTTCACCAAGGAGCTCACCAAGCACTATCAGGGCAACAACGACACTGACGTCTTCTCTGCCACCTGGAACTCCGTCATGATCACAGTGAGTGACACCCCCCACACCCCCAGGGATGCTATGAGCTTTCAGAGCCATGATGCCCAGCGTTGCAAATGTCTGGCCTCCAGAGACCCCTCTGCTCACGTGCCAGTAACCGACCAGGGCACTGCCCCCGAGACCCAGGCCTGCCTCGGAACCACACCCACGCAGCATTCCCGGCCACCATTGCCCCTGGATCATGGACCACACTCCGAATGAAACCCGTTTGCCATCTCTGCCTGAAATCCTCAAGCAATTGTCATTGTCGTCAATGATAGTAATCATAGCAACTGTTTAGTGAGTGCTAAGCGCCTGGTGAGGTAGGAACTATTACCAGCACCCCCATTTTACAGATGAGGACACTGGAAGCTCAGAGCAGTGGAGTATCTTTCCCAGGTCCCACAGGTGGAGTGGGTGAAGCCAGCCCCCACCGGGTCTCAAGTCCGTCCCATCACGCTTCCTCACTGTGGCCTTTAGAGGGGCTGTCTAGCTCTGCCCCTCAGGGCCAGCTCCCACCCACAGGACCCTTCCCTCTGCTCTCCTCCTAGTTTGGTTGCTGCGGGGTCAACGGGCCTGAAGACTTCAAGTTTGCATCAGTTTTTCGACTCCTGACTTTGGATAGTGACGAGGTGCCCGAGGCCTGCTGCCGGAGAGAGCCCCAGACTCGGGACGGGGTCCTGCTGAGCAGGGAGGACTGCCTCCTGGGAAGGGACCTGTTTCTCAACAAGCAGGTACAGGCCCTGCTCCCCAGGCAGGGGGAAGTGGTGGCCAGAGCTGGGTGGGTGGCAGTGTTGTCCCAGAGGGTCTGAAGGCACTCCAGGATCCCGTGGGACTGTTGACGCGATATGGGACTGCGTGAAGGCTAATAAGGCTCCAGCCAAGCTCCTGAGACCCAACCAAAGTGGGGGAAGGGGGAAGGTCAGGCAGGGCTCAGGGATAGCACAGGCCAGAGGGGTGAGCATTTTGCCGGGGTTAAAGGGTGAGTAGGAGTTTTCCAGTGTTCCAGGCAGAGCACTCCTTGAGCTTCTTATAATGTAGGTTGGGAGCCAGAACTAGAATCACAGTGGGGGCCCCTCCTCGGTCATGTATTCTATTTTGGGGGAAGCTCACACTTGCCATGTGGGGGCACCCCCTGGCTCCAAGGGAGCAAGGTTCAGGGAAGAATCCCTTTCCCTTCCTGTGTGACACTAGGTCCCACAATGGCCAGCCCCCTACCCCTCAGTGTATGTGAGACCAGAGGGAGGGGGAGAATGAGGGTAGACAGCTGTGCCCCATGGCTCTCACTGGATTAGGCCATTAATGTGAAGTTCATGGGAGGGTTCCAGATGCAAGGGACCCCTCAAGGGACAGGAGACAAGGCCCCTGCTCCTGTGGGGCTCACGGTTTAGAGGAAGCAGATGATAAACAAGCAGCAGACAAACCAGAAGTGATCATTTCACATGGCAACAATTACTCTGAAGGAAGTAAAACCAGATGGCGGGCTAGAAGGGACCGTGTGGAGGGCTCAGGGCAGGCCTCTTGGAGTCCCCGGGGAGGGGACAGTTGAGTTGAGGCCTGACACTGGCCAGCTGGTGAGTCTCCTTCCAGCCTCAGCTTTGTCTCACAAACTCAGCACCACCATCCCCTGCACCTGCCCACGTCATGTCAAAGGCTACACAAGGCCCCAAGAGCCAAGTTCTGTGGAGGAGCCTCTGGGTCATCCCAGCTGGGCACATGGTGCTGGAGCTCAGGGGAAGGTCCATGCTGGAGATAAACCCGGGCATTCTTTGTGATGGCACCTCTGACCTCACTGCTTTTTGTCAGATTAGGTTGGAGGGGCAACTGTGGTCAGGTTTGGGGGTGCACATCCCCTCCCTGCAGAGAGGGATCACAGATGCTGGTGACCGCAGCATGGTTGGGGGACCATCAGTCTGGTGGGGCTGAGGCGGGGAGAAATGGCACCCTGCAGTGTCTCGCTGAGTGGGGTGAAGCCACCTGGAGGCCGAGGAAGAGGTAATATTCAGGGGTGCAGACACCAGCTCGAGCCCTGAGCCAGGGCCCAGACCTAGATGAGCGAGAACCGAGCCTTCCTGACACGCAGCTCCCTTCCCTTCAGACAGAGGAGAGAGCAGCAGGATCTTGGGCTCCTCTCAGTATAAACCCTGCTTTCCTTCCTCCCCGTATGTGACCTTGAGCCAGTTGTCAGCTGCTCCCACCCTCCCTCCCTCACACATCAAATTCGGGGGCAGCCCTCTTCCCCAAGGGGCTGTGACAAGGACTCAATGAGAGCAAGCCCACGAGGCTCCAGCAAAGTTCCTGACAGGTGGACACTCGCGAAGTGTTGGCGGCAACATCCTGCCCTTTCCCCCTGCCCTCCCTGCTCCCTCGAGGGGTCTCAGGATCTGGGGCCTCCACTGGCCAGCCCGGTCAGCTTGGTTCAGTCCAGGGAGCCAAAGGGTCTTGGGTACCAGGGCCAGATGGAGAGGAGAGGAGCAATTAAGGCCCCAGGTGCACCACCCAAAGCAGAGGAGGGCCACAGGGATGTCCTCTCTGCTGGAAAAGGTACCCTGGGTGAGGCATGTCCAAGTCAACTTCATGCCCAAGAAGGATTTACTGCTCTGTCTCCTTGAGGGTGTGTGTGAAGGATGTCTTGGAATGGCCCCGGAGACATAGAGGGTCACTCCCACGGCCACACACACACACAGCTCTGCACTCGGACACTTTCCACCAGGCAGGATGCGCTTAGAGGGGCGCAGAGGGAGGGAGGGTGGTCCTCTGGGGATGGAAGCCTTGCTCAATGCCAACAGCGCTGCCTGGGCTTTGGGGCCACATGCCAATTCCCCGGCTTCACACCCATGTCCCGACACTGGTTCCTGACCCCTGACCTCAGACTGTTCCTCGGGCTGTGGCTTCACCTCTGGTCCTTTCCTCAGGGCTGTTACACAGTGATCCTCAACGCCTTCGAAACCTACGTCTACCTGGCCGGAGCCCTTGCCATAGGGGTGCTGGCCATCGAGGTAAGTGAAGGTCCCACTTCTGTGGCTCCCCAGAAGCAAGGCATACATGGGGCCTGGGTCAGACTTCCATGGGCCAGTCCCTTCCTGCCACAGGGCAGACATCTCCTCCTCAGGGTGGGTGGCCCATGGGGTCTGGGGGCCCAGCCTAACTAGCCACTCCTACTTTCTGTGCAGCTTTTCGCCATGATCTTTGCCATGTGCCTCTTCCGGGGCATCCAGTAGAGGGCGTGACCTGAAGCCTGAAGACACCCTGCCCACCACTGCCCAGCACCAATGCCCTCCCCTCCCCTGCACCCCTGCCCCCTTGGTCCCGGGGGAGGAGGTGAGACCATCATGAGTGACCAGAAGAAGGGGCAGGGGAAAATAACTATTTTTTTATCAAAACAAAATGACAAAAATATGGACTGATGATGTACCCCGCCTGGATTCCAGGGTGGGAGCCATGGGCTCTCTGCACCCAGGACAGTCTGCACTAGAGACCAAAGGAACACCAGTCCTAGGTCCCCTCCTTGGCCCTGCTGGACTCTGGCAGCCTCAGGACCTGGTGCCAAGAAAGTGAGGATTTATGCAACAAGGAGGCAGGAACAAATCTTGGAGAGAGGTCCCCAGGGCCCAGGACCCCAAGGAGACTCAGTCACCATGTCCTAGAGAACTCGCACCTCCCTTGCAATCCCTGGTCCTCCAGTTGATGGAGTTGTCCTGGCTCCTGCTAAGAGTGGGCTGCAGACCCCAGACCCCAGAATGGCCTGGCTGGTGGACCAAATCTGGGAGGCCCAGAGTGTCAGTCAGTCACACAGCACATGTGTGACATTCCAAATAAGAACTGGGTCTCCAGGCTGCCCTCCACTCCCTCTGGGGCTCTGTCAGTCCAGCAAACCTTCTGCTCATGCCCCTCCGACCTCAGCATCATGGTTTCCCCAAAAAAGACAGGGCAGGCTGGCCAGGATAGCTCTTCCCTGTTGCACAGCTAAGATGATTTTGGACTGTCGCCCCTGGCTCCCCTCCTTCCTCCCCACACTTCTAAGCCCCCAGGAACACACATGTACACACACCAGAGTCTCTTTTCCATACTGCCCATCTCCTCACGAGACCATCCCCTTCTCTGTTTTCCACCAACTCCTGGGTTCCAGGGCTAGGAGCCCCTAAGTTCATCTGGTCTTTTCCCCACCCAGAACCATGGCTTGGATATCTTCTTTAAGATCCTGGCCAAGACATCTCCACCCTCCTCTTGTACACCTCCAGGGATGGGGACCTTACTACCTCTCAAGACAGCATTCTGCCTTTGGACTGCTGACTTCAGCATCAGCTCAATACACAGAAGAGACTTCCATTTTTCTGTGGTTCCGTCCAAGGCATACCACTTGCTCTCTCCTTCTTAAGTGTTAAGGCCACACACTGTCTGCCCCTGAGCTCCGTTATCTCCAGGCTAAAGAATTCCAGGACATCATTTCTGTGACATGGTTTCCTGTCCCTTCACCGACCACAGCACATTTCTAGTGCTCCTTCCAGGCTCAGGCAGGAAGAGGTCTTCCCACAGACTGACACCCACACACCACCCACAAATCAGCCCTCATAATTCTAGACCAGCTGGATTGTAAGATGCCTGATCAATCAGGAATGGCTGGTGGAGGCTGTGCAGAGGGTCTGAGGTTGCCCTGGGCTCAGTGGGAGAGGGCAGTGTAATCCCGATTAGTGACGTCTGCCACAGGCATGGGAATGGGAGGGATAGCAGGCCCGGTGCCAGCTGCCAGCCTCCCCTCCTGCTTTCCACCCACTAGGCTTTGGCCTAGAGCCCAGTGCCCCCCTGCTCTGCCACCTGTCCCCTTCTGAGATGCAGCCAGAGCTCCGTGCCTGCTGTAAAGATTTGGTTAGACCTTCCTCTATCTCTGCCTTCTCCCCTCCAACCCTCCCTCTATTCCACCAATTGGGTCTTTCCAAATTACCCCTGTACCAGCCTCCCCTGGCAGTTCCATGCCACAAGCTCCCTAGCAACTGGGCATCCCAGGACCCAGGGGGCCCCGCAGCTGGTACCCCAGCCCAGCCTGAGAAGGGCCTGGGGCCTGCCCCTCCAGGTCCACCCACATACTTCTACACAAGAGGCAATGGCTGGCCTGAGGTTGACAAAAAGAAACTCAGGCTGGCTAGGCAGGACTCGAGGTCGAGTTGGCAGCTGTGTGGCTCCAGTCCAGAGAAGCCCAGGAGAACCTGGGGCCATGGAGGTGGTAAGTGCCTGTATGGCACCACCCCCTCCTGGGCCCCATTCGAGTTTGAGGGAGATCGTGGAGGACCATTTGGCTGAGGCGGGCTCCTGGGTGGATGTGAGACTCTCTTGCCAAGGGCTTTCCAGAAAGGTGCCAAGGAACCCTGAATCTGACCTGCTGACCTCCCCAGCCACTGGCCACACTCAGGCTAGTGGCTCTTTGCAGGACTCCCTGTGGTCATTCTGAGGGGCAGGGGTATGGAAGTGCCACCCCAATCTAAGGAGCCCCCCCAGGCTCCAGATCTGGCCGCGCTGGTCCAGGTACAGCCCATATGTTATAGGTGCTGGCGGCAGCTGATGGCTGCTGGGGGAGGGAGCAGGTAGGGATGCCCTGCAGACCTACGGATAACAGGGCAAGGGCCAGGGAAGACCACACGTGAGTCAAGTACCGGCCCTGCTCACCCTGCTCCTAAACTACTGCTTCTGGGAAAAGGGACACATCTTAGGGGCTGGGGCCCATGCTCGGGCTCCCTTATTCTTCTCATATCCATCCCTAAGGGGCCCATACCGGACCCCCAAACTAGCTGAGGCCCCAGCAGCCCATCTCTGCAGAAGCCCCCTCTCCACTCCCCCGTGGGCCATTGAAAGTCTATTTTGAAAATTGTAAATGTCTTCACAGTAGGTAGCAGAGCTAATTTATCATGTTTATTCCTGTGCGCCCCTTTTATATTATATACCCAGAGTTTTGTAATATAAAACAGGACACCCACACTGATGGTTTTGCACTGGTTTTTGTGACCGTTTCTTACAAAATGAAAAAGGAACGAAGAATAAATAGTGACCGTGAAGAAAGGTGGTCTTGGTTTGAGTGAGGGTGGGCTGGGCTGGGGCAGGAGCTTGGCAAGAGGGTACTGGGTTCTGGTGGCAAAGGGGACCTGGGGGAACTGGGAAGGGGCATTCTGGGTCTTCCCAAACCTTTAGAATGGGCCCTGGGCCCACACTGGGCCTTCTTTAATAGATTTGTGGGTTCCTTTGTTCCTCTCCCCCTTGTCACTGTCTCCTCCCTGAGGGCTCCTTACCATCCCCCCAGGCTATGTGTCTGTCTGCCAGAGCAGCTCCCTCCAGGCCTCATGGGGATGTTTAACCAAGTAGCACGAAGAACTTCGAAGTTCGTGCCAGAGGCTGGACGGCACTGCGCCCTCACTACCCCCCCCCACGGCTGAAAGCGAAGTAGCTTGGCCAGTTCAGCCCTAGCAGATGCCCAACACAAGAGCCCATGCCTCCACTTCCCTGCCTGCCTCAAAGGGGCCTACCTGCCATACCCAGTGGTTATTAGGACAAACCACCACCTGCTGGAGAACTAGCCAGGCCTTCAAAGGCATGGGTCATATGGAGGACATGGCCTTGGTCTGGAGGCACTGCCCACCAGCCACCAACACCACCTCCCAAAGTCAGTGGTGGGCTCCCAGCCTGCCCAGAACTCCCCCTGGGGACAGGCACAAACTTCAGTGGCAAGAGATGGATGCCAGGTTAAGAGCAGGCCCTTCCTTAGTGTCTGATGTCCCTTCTGCGCGGTCATGGTAACCAGCAGTACAGCCTTCAGGAACCTGACCTGCCGGGCCTCTCTCCTCAGCTGCACATGTGGCATCCTCAGTAGGCATGTGGCTGCAGGGACAGCTGGGCACAGGGAAGGCAGTGTGGTGCCCAGTGTGGGCAGGGTAAGGTTCCCAGATGCAGGCCCACCTGGCACTAGCCAGAGCTGAGCTGCACCAAAGGACCATTCATCTCACCCCCCAAACACACTCTATTCAAATACAGAAAGTGAGACTGGGGCCTGGGCTGCTGTTTTCCACACCTGTCCCCAGAACACAGGGCTGCCACCCCTGGTGAGCACAAGTGTCCTGGAGGAAAGGAAAACGGTGGGACAGAGGAAGGAGGAGGGAGTTCTGGGGGGACACACAGGCCGGGAAGTCTGCAGGGAGTGTGAGCTCTCTCCAGGGCATCTGGGGAGGGAGGGGGGGACACAAGAGCAGGTGGCCTGCTGAAATATTTCTATATTGTTCCCCTGCTGAGTTTGAAGGGTACCCAGTCCTATCCCACCAGGCCCTGGGGATAGCCCAGGCTGGAAGTCCAGAGAGCAGCACCCTGGGGAAGGGGCAGGGAGAGGGGAGGGGCTAAGCCAGGTAAGCATCAGAACCTGGAGAACATGCCAAGGGACAAGGAAATGCCACTGCTTTTCTTCTCGTCTCCAAACCCCATCACTCACAGGTGGCCTCCGTCTGGGTGATCTGTGTCCGTGTCAGGGCCAGCCTGTGGTGGGGCTGCTGACAGCCTCTGGACCAGGCCAGCTGGGGGAAGGGGACTCCTAGGAGCCTTCGGGAGCTGGGGCGGGGGAGGCAGAGCAGCCTGGAGCAAGGCCCCAGGAGAGCCCGTGGTGGCCGGGACAGGGCTCTGCTGCTTGTGGCCCACCTCACAGGAAAGGCAAATGCCAGCTCAGCCAGCCACCCCCACCTGTCGGCCTGCAGCTGGGCTGTGGGGAGGACAGGTGCATGTGTTTAGGGGTCAAGAGGGGCCGCCACATGTGGGGAGGGCCCGCAAGGGGTAGGGGCACAAGATCAAGTTCTTGGGTTTTTTGGCATAGGCAGGAGCCAAGTTCACCTGCTTGGGCACTAGATTGGCAGGGGGTGGAGGGGAGGACGAGGCAGCCCGCAGCCTCTCTCAGAGGAAAGAGGGAAGGGCCTCGCCTCCGCCCGGACCCCTGTGATGCAGGCTCTCCGGCCAGTGTCTGTCCAGGGGATCCGGAGGCCAAGAGGCCCAAGAAAAGGAGGCGTCATTGGGTGGGGCAAAGAACAGGGATGCAGAGACCCTGTCCCTCCCCAAACCTGAAAGCACAGGTCACAGCATTGGGAAGAGCCCAGGAGGAAGGAAGAGGGCCATTCCTATCTGCCTGGCGCAGGGCAGGGTCCTTCCTGCCTTCCAGGAACCAAAGGGAAACTGAGGCCCAGGGCCTCCTGGCCCCAGAGGGGCCCCCAGCCCAGTGGTCAGCTAGACTTTTTTGGGTTTTCGGCCGAGTTGGTAATAGTAGTAAACGCTGATGGCAACAAAAAGAAGGCGGCTGGCCAGGAGCAGCAGAGTTCCCAGGGACATGAGGCCCGTCTCGGCCAGCGTGGCAGTGACCACTGTGGGAGAAAGGCCGGGAAGGAACAGGTCAGAGGACTGTGCCCTTGCCCTGCCACAGGACCGCGGGCTGATCCAGGAGCCCCAGGGTGGTCGCCTCTCTGGCCCTGTCCTAAGCGGGGGTCCTGCAGCTGTCTGACCCCACAGACATGTCTGTTTTGATGTTTTCCACGTGGCAGAAACTGAGGCAAGCACGTGGGCAAAATAAGAGTGTGTGGTCACACCTGTGCTGGGTTGTGGGAGGCTGCAGGTGCACGTGTGGGAGGCTGCAGGTGCACGTGTGGGAGGAAGGCTGCAGAAATGCCCATGTGTGTATTCAGGAGATACAGTTAAGTGGTAAGTGTATGAGCGCAGGTGTGCAGGATACAGGTAAACACAGCCACATGGGTCCCTCCCCCTTAGACAGGTTTCCATCACTTCCTAGCAACCCAAGTGGCAAGAGCTGGAAGATGGGGGCAAAGCTGCCCTGCCCACACCCCACCTTCAGCCTCCCCTCACCACCCACCTTAGGACTCACCCAAAAACTGGACCCCAAAGTAGCAGGCTTCAGTGAGTAGAGTCCATCGAATGATAACCTTCTCAGCCGTGTAGAGAGCATTCCACATGATCAGGGAAATGCCTGGGTGGGGACAAAGGGGGGGTTGGGGGTAGGACAGCCTGAACCACCCACCCCTTTGGGGCAGGGGCAAGGGGCCTGTTCCATGTCCCTTTGGCCCTATGTGGCAAGGAAGCCAGGAAGCTGTACATCCACATCTCCTGCCCCCATGCATTTCCTCAAATTAAACCTCATCTATCCATCCCCTGACCCATTCTCTCAAGTTCAACTCTGCTGTGTCAGCTGATGAGTTCATTCCCATTCATGCAATGTCCCACACATCGTGGGATGCTGGGCAAGTCAGGTCCCCACACTGGGACTCAGTCTTTTCATCTATAAAATGGGAGGCCTGAGCTCTAGGTACTCTGCCCCTGTCAGGTTCTGTTATGATTCTAGGTTGATGGGAGTTTATGAGTTAATGGGTTGCTTGGTCCTACAATCACATTTTCTTTACAAATGGACTCCTGGAGACAGGAAACCTGAGCCCATGAAGGAATCTCTCTAAGGGATACCCCAGGGGGACGTAGGCAGACCGTATTTCCGGTGGAAGAGCCACCTACTTAGCCTCTGCCAGTCTCTGCTGGCTCTGCACACCAGATATGTACTCATTTTATTTCAACAAACCTAACCCATGTTTAGCTCTCCCACTGTGTGAGTGGAGTGCTTGAAGCCACCCCAATCCCCACCACCCCTGGCCCCAGAGGTATTGAAGCTGGCCCTTAAAGGTGAGTAGAAGTGTAATCAGTACAAAACAGGGGAAACTGTGTGCAAAGGTATGGAGACCTTCTGAATGGCACGGGGCATTATGAGGTGTGGCTGGATGTGGGGGGAGGTAGGTTTGGGAAGGCAGACTGGATCCACCCCACAGATGACCCTGAACGCCAGGCGGAAGAGCTGGAACTTTAATCTGAAGGCAATAGGGAGCCATAGAATGTTTTGGAGAAGGAGAGCAACACCATCTACACTAGGTTTTCAAAGCTGTTATTCAGCTTCCTAACAGGCATTGTGTGTGACTCAGACTGGAGAGAAACAGAAGTGGTTCAAAAGAGAGGCCCAAGGGTGTGAGGGGTTTTGTAGACACACTGTTGATTTTGCCTGCTTCTCTGAGCCAGGAAGCCCTGGAGGGCAGGGCCCTGGCCTCATTCATCTCTGCACCCCAGTGCCCAGTGGTGCACTACACCCAGCAAGCGCTCAGTAAGTGCTTGTTCCAAAAGATGGCAAAGACAGAGCCCCATCCACTGCATTCTACCAGTGGCCACATGATGGCAGCATACACCCGGCAGAGACAGACGTCAGCTGAAGGGGGGATCTGGGAAGGGGAACATCAGCAGAGAAGGCTCCCTGTATTCCCCTCAACCCCAGGTGGTCCCCCAGCTGCCCATAACCTACCCCAGAGTCCTCCCCAGCAATACTCACTGAGGAGGGCACCCCCATAGAGGCGGATGGGGGTCTTGCTGGTCACCTGGGCTCCATCAAAGACAGCGTCATAGAGCTGGTCAGGGAAGGCAAGGGCCTAGGCACAGCAGGTGGGATGCTCAGGGTGGGGGTGGGGGGGTCACCGTGAAAAACCCCTAGACATCTTCCTTCCCCCCAGAACTGGGCCAGGGTCCCTGGGCCAGTCCAGAGTCTGGATCTTGATTGCCCCCCACCATTCCATGCCAGGACAGAAGGCACTGGGGTTGCCAGGGGCAAGGAGTCAGGACCATGGCCAAGGATCCAGGATGCTCCCAGGCAGGCACAGGCAGGACGAGTGTCAGGAGCCAGGACCTGGAGGCAGTCAGCGAGCCCTGACAGATGGGGCATCAGCATGAGGGCTGTGTGGGTGGGGAGAGGCAGCAGGGGCCCCAGGGCAGGGGAGGAGCCCCTAGTAGAGGCCCGGGTTCCTGGGGTTGGGCAGGGGCTCACCATGACCGCGATGCCGGAGAAGAGCACAGCGGAAACAAACTGCCAGACCCTGGGGAGGCATCAATAGGAAGGTCACAGCCAGGCCCTTCACTGCCAACCCCAGACCTCAGGGGACCCCCCCCCACCTTCCCAGCCAAGATGCCCAGGGAGGGCTGGTTCTGGGGGAGGGAATGAGATGGGATGGAATCAAGGGCAAGAGGGGGGGGCAAGGCTGATGAGGCGGAGCCTTACACAGCCCCGCCCCATAACACTCACAGCAACGCTCACCTCAGTCCCAAAGGCTCCCGAACAGCAAACTTGATTTCATTGCCCAAGACCTGGCTGATCTGTGGACACAGAGGGGAGGGGTCAGAGGCTACCAAGGGGAAGGCCACCCTCAGCATGCCTAGCCCACTCAACCCCCAAAACCACCCCCTTCCCCCGGCATGCTCAGGGGCCCACCTAGGCGCCTCTGCTTAGCCAAACAGCCACCCAAGCTGGAAGGGTCACACTGAGGCCACCTCCTCACTGCCTCCCTGACACCAGGGCTTAAGGAAAGCTGAAAGCATGGTGGCTGAGAGTGAAAGCTCAGGGGTCTGCAGGACGTGAGCTTGAAGCCTGGCTCTGGCACTGACTGGCACGGCCCTGGGCAAGTCACCTAACCTCTCTGAGCCTCAGTTTCCTCATCTATACAATGGGTTAATAACTGCTTCTGCATCTTCCAGGGCTAGCAGAATTAAATAATGCTCCTTAAACAGCAGTGTAATAGTGGCATACACTAAGCACTCAATTCTAAAGATCTCTTTTCATGTCTGTATCATTCTCTGACATCACTACATTTCTAGAAAAATGCGTTACGTCCTGGACTCCTGCAGCTCTATGGGTCTCAGCTACGCTTCTCTCCCAGCCCTGGGCCAGACCTGCCTCCCCAAACTGGTGCTCAGAGGCAGCCCACGTGCGCCCACCTTGGAGCGGTGCACCTCCCCGTCGTCGTCCTCCCCGCCCACTCCAAGGATTTTGCGGGTCTTCAGGCGGCTCACGAGGTCCGTCTGGCTGTGCTTCTTCATGAGAGGGGGGGGCTGCTTGGCCGCCATCCTGTCCTGGATCCCGGCCTCTGCAGAAGGGCTGTGGGGAGACACCGGCCTCAGGCCACGGGTCCCACCCAGCTTCCAGACCTCGGAGGGCGGCCAGACCCAGCCCAGGGCCCGCTGAGGCTGTGGTCCAGGCTCTCCACTGAACTTCTGCCCAGACAATTCCTGCTGCCCANAGGAAGGGGAAAGGGCTGGCCACAGGACCCAGCTGAGCCCGAGGAAGGATGCCAGGGGTGGAGACAGGGCTCTGGATAGTCCAGGTCTGTCCTCTCCCTGCCACCAGCCTCTCCCCTACCCTGTGTCTGCCCATGACTTCCCACAGCCCCCAGTCCTCAGCCACCCTCCAACTCCACCTTGGGCCGGGTCTTAAGCACCTACTGTGTGTCAGGCACTGTGATGGACAATGGAGATGCAGAGATGAGTTGAGTGTGCCCGTTCTCGCCTTCAGTCAGCACAAACCTACAAGGAAAGACAGGAGTGTAAACTGCAATGAAGCGAAGGCTTCTAGAAGCTGGCCCTGGTGTGGCACTAGGCTCCTCCAATCACAGCTGCTCTGCCCTGCAAGATGGGTGCTGTTTACACCCATTTCTCAGATGAGGAAACTGAGTTCAATAAGGTTCAACCAAGTTCAATGAGGTTCAGCAGAGACATATCAAATATCGGTAACACCAGTACTGGGTGCCTCCCGTATTCCAACATCTCATTTCCACCCATGGCCACCCTCTGGGAAGGCAGGAAAACCACCCCCGTTTACAGACAAGGCTCCGAAGTTGCCTGTGCTCAGCCGGGAACCTGAGCTGGACTTGCCGGACCTCCCTGACCAGGCCTCAGGCCCAGACCTCAGTACTGTGTGGCCCTGGGCGAGCCCCGCTGTCCAGGGCTGCCAAAGGCAGAGCCCAGTAATGTCCTTGGTCACCTCCAGTTCCAGCCCCCGCCCCGTGTCTTTTTGTTTTGGTTTTTGTTAACCCTCACCCAAGGGTATTTTTTCCATTGATTTCTAGAAAGAGTAGAAGGGAGGAGGGGAGACAGAGAGAGAGGAACATTGATGTGAGAGAGACACATCGATTGGTTGCCTCCTGCATGCACCCTGATGACCGGGGTCAGGGATCGAGGCTGCAACTGAGATACGTGCCCTTGACCGGTATCGAACCCAGGACCCTTCAATCCACAGGCCGACACACTAACCACTGAGCCAAATCGGCTAGGACCCCCAGCATCTTAAAGCAAAATAAAGCACCCAGCAAATAATCATCAGAACAGAATCAAACTGTGGGGTGTTTAGATAATGAGGCTTTAGACTTAGATACATTAGCAGGAAGCACACCAGCTCGGGATTGGAAATAAGGGCAATGTCATGGCAGTGGCCCTCCTAAGCTCCCAGCCCAGTCCCTCATCTGTCAACTGGGGGNGCTGCAACTGAGATACATGCCCTTGACCGGTATCGAACCCAGGACCCTTCAATCCACAGGCCGACACACTAACCACTGAGCCAAATCGGCTAGGACCCCCAGCATCTTAAAGCAAAATAAAGCACCCAGCAAATAATCATCAGAACAGAATCAAACTGTGGGGTGTTTAGATAATGAGGCTTTAGACTTAGATACATTAGCAGGAAGCACACCAGCTCGGGATTGGAAATAAGGGCAATGTCATGGCAGTGGCCCTCCTAAGCTCCCAGCCCAGTCCCTCATCTGTCAACTGGGGGCAGCTGAGCTTTTCCCTCCCCCTCACACACCTGGGGGCACAGGAGGTGGCTGGTAGTGACCAGAAGGCAGCTCAGTGCCAGTAGATGGAGAGGTGGCCAGCCCCACTGGGCAGCCAGGATTTAATCGAACTGCTCCTCGGGGACCTTGGGACTGTCACAACACCTCAGCCATTTGCCACCACCTCCCTGTGAATCCAGACAGAAGCTGTAATCAGCCTGGCGTCCCTCCCGCTGCCAGGCGGGCTGAGAGCCACTGAGCAGTAGTATTCCATGGGACAGACGCACCAGTGTCATTACGCACTCACTCACCGAGGAACTGGGTCGATTCCAGAGTTTGATGACTGTGAACAAAGCTGCTATAAACATCCATATACAGGCTTTGTGCAGCCGTAACTTTTCATTTCTCTAAGGTAAATACCCAGGAGTGGGATGACTCTGAGTTATATGGTAACTCTCCGCTTAGCTCTAGGAAAAAGTGCCAAACTGTGGTCCACAGCAGCGACCCATTTGTATTCCCCACAATGCATGAGCATTCTGGTTTCCCCACATCCTCCCAGTACCAGGTATGGTCAGTCTTCCTATAGGTCCCCTGGCGTTTTAACCCTCCCTCCCAGGCCAGCCATGCTGCCAGACTCAGTCCTTACTGGCTGTGCGACTTGGGCAAGTCATCTCACTTCTCTGAGCCTCAGTTATCCCCATCTGTGAAATGGGGCTGTACTTCCCACCTCCTAGAGATTTAGGGGCAAAAGGAGAAGCTTGGTCAGAGCACACAGTGCAGCACCTTACACATCGCATTTAGTGAGGATGTGCTGTGAGCCAGGTATAGGGTTGTGGGACAGGGCCCCTGCCTGGGTGGGGAGGAGGCACTGATCTGTCAGCCATAAATCAGAGCAAGTTACTTCTCTGAGCCCCATTGTTCTCATCTGTGAAATGGAAACCCTTACTTTTCCCGTAGGGCGGAGCTACAAGACCTAACAGTTAAGAGCTAACTGCTTAAGTCACACCTGAGTTCACATCCTGGATCTACCACTTCTTAGCTGTGTGCCTGTGGGCAAGTCACTTAACCTCTCTGTACCTCAATCCCCCCATCTGTAGTTGGGAAAATAAAGGGTCCAACCTTAAAGGGATGTTGTGAGAATGCAAGATACAGTTGTGACGTGTGTAGGGCAGTGTGCCTGGCCTTGGAAAGTGTCACTTGGACACTCTGGCCCTCCCCAGGTTCCCCCATGCAGCAGTGGCTCTGGGATGGAAGCCAGGAAAAATCAGAAGGGCCTAACTAGCGTTTCCTAACATCTCCACCAAGTTGGGCCAAGCCCCCAGACCTCAGCCCCATGGCACAAGGCTGACTCTTGAGCCACAGCCCACAAGGCCTGGGCTGTGTCAGTGACCCCAGCTCAGAGGGTCAGCTGCCTTCCTCTGCCCAATGTCCTCTCCTCACCAACACACAAAGCTCCCCTCTGCAGCACAGGCCTGAACCATAAATTGAAGGCTATGAGATGTGGCAGTGCCAGCCTGCTGAGTACAGAAAGGGACTCCATCTAACACTGGCATCGCTCATAGAAGGAACAAGCTTTATCCACAAGCACTGCCATCAGGTACCTGGGCTGGTGAGACCCACTGTAGTCACCCCAGAGCCCAGCCCCAGCACCGAGCTCACTACCAACAAAGAAAGGGCCCTGGGACATCTTAGGAAGAGCGAGATCTTGAACTTGATCTCCAGGGAGTGGGTCCCCTGAACCTACCTCTGCACCTGCAAGACTGGGCCCTGCCTGGGGAGGGTAGATGGGTAGCTGTAACACTTCTATACGCCTGTCAGCCCCTGAACATGCCCCGCTCCCAAGGCAACACCCCCTCAGATCTGCCCTTGAACTTTCCTCCCCTGCAAGGCCACTCTACCCGTTCCTTTTAAGCCTGGCCCCATTTTAACCTAAAAAAGGAAAAACAGTACCTCCCTGCAATCCTCTCCCTGCACACTGGCTTGGGGCAGCCAGACCTGGGTTTGAATCCTGGTTCTGCTCTTACCAGCCACAGGGCTTTGGGCAACTCTCCCAGCCTCAGTGTCTGCTCCTGAGCAATGGGGGTAATGAGAACGCACACTCGCAGAAGTGCTGGAGGACAGAGGGCCTGGGGGCGGTGCCTGCAGCGAAGTGCCCTGCCCGGGACAAGCAGGCCCAGCTCCTGCTACTTCCCTTTCTTCACTCATTCGGCCATGCACAATGGAAAAAGCCTGCCTGGCAGGGCTGTCTCGTTTTTTCTCCCAGATCTAGCTGCCTTCTGAAGGGCCCCAGGGCTTCCCCAGTGCCAGGCTTCCCCAGGCTAGGGGAAAAGGTGGGGAGGAGGGCTGCCCCTCCACCTACATGCTCCCT